TATTTTAGAAGTTCTTCATGACATAAAGTTACGAATCACCAACAATTTTACAATAAGTTCTTATTGTTTAATAAAACATAATTCTTGATAGCCTTAACGTAATTCTATTTGTCTCATAATATTATAACACATATAAAGGTATTTTTTCTATATTCTTTACATGAAGATGAGAGATTTTCTCCTCCTGGGGCTGTAGAGTTTCAGAGGTCCTTTGACGTGGCCTTAAACAACGCCAAGCAACGTGCCAGAAATCAAAGAAAAGCCTTATTTTACAACAAATTAAAAAGTTAAAAAACTTTTCCTAGGATTCTTCATAAAAAACAATTTTTATTATTTAAAATATTTTTTTAATTATCATATTTTTTTGTTTTTTTAACAAGTTTTTATTTTTTTTTTATTTTAATTATAAAAAAATAATTTTTCCCTGTGCCTGTATTTTTAAACCGTTTTTCTTTAATTTTAATTAGGTAGGTACCTAATTATATTTTATTATTTAGCGTGAAATTAAAATTAATATTATATTACAAACAAGAACCATGTAAATTTATATCGTGTTTTAGGTTATGCACATTATTTAAAATATGTAGAAAGGTTTTTATTTTGTGATAGAAATAAATGTATAAAAATATTATTTATTTAAAAAATTTATCAACAAACTTTTTTTGTTTTAAAAGCATTACCTACATAATATAACAAATTGGTCTTTTTATAATTTAAATGATCCAAAGCCCAAATAAAAAACAAATCTTGTATATTCTAAAATCCATATTTAATAAATTCGTTATCAAATGTGTATTGTGTATTTTATCAATACATTAGTAGATAAAAGATATATTATAATAGTTTTTAACAACAAATATTTATTTATTTGATTATTTATAGAACGAATATCCCAAATTAAATCTATGCAATATTAATATTAACTTGTTAAAATCAGATTAAACGCTAGAATGAATAAAATTAAATTAAACTATTGTTTGGCAACAAAAGCTTCAATTATTCACGGTATTTTTTCCGCACATTTAAATATAAACTGTTAAATTTAGAAGGTTGCAGCTTTTACGAAAGTATTCTCCAATACATTGCTTTGATAATAGATAATGCTTATATTATTAGGCATATCAAATTTGATTTATTGCGCAAAGACTTTTATAGAATGTCTTAAATGTCAGTCCCTCCCTTCTATGCATTTAAATTAGCCAGTGTATTTTATAAATGTACTAAAAACATACTAAAAAAGTAACAAATTGTAATAAAAGGTATTTTTGGTACTAAAAATGGTCAGAAGTTTTTTTACCTTGCATGATTTAATGTAACCGTGCAAGTGCAAGTAAATTCGTTGGCTTAAATAAAACACAGAGATTTAAACCAAAAATAAATTAACTTAATTATTAAAATAAAGTAGACCTGTGTTATCCGCGACTTCGTTCGCGTGGGATTAGTACTTAACATTAGCTATGAACTGCGTCACAAAACACTTTTAGTGTACATCGCTTTTTGGCAAAAAAAAACGAAAACAAAAAAAATTAAAAAAATCAAAAAAGTACAAAGAAGTAGTTATATCTCCGTAGCAATTTCATCAAATCGTTTCAGCAGTTTAGGCGTGAAAGAGAACAAAGAACTTTGCATTTATAATATGCATGGAATAATGTTTAAAACTGAAAACATCAATAACATTTTCCTACAACCGTTAAAAATGTTTTTTTATTGATATGCGTTTAAAAACGGCATTTTCGTTTACCTAGTCAGTGTCACTAAGTCAGTGCGCGAATATTTTTTTTTATCCCGTGCGCAAATGTAACATGGGCGTACTAGGGTGTAAATAAACAAAGTTAATTGACAAATGTCAATTTTATTTGGACAAAACGTACTATGCTCTACACCCAATGGTACTTTAATACAAATAATTAAGGTTAATTTTCTGGCAGTGTCAAACGAAGTACGTCTTATTTTCTGAAACTAGCATGCAATGCAATATATGTATTTTGTATGTATAAAAGTTTTAATTTAGAACTCAAAAAATACATACTTACATTGTGTTATTTTCAGAAAATTAGACGAAATTAGCGTGTCACTGACAGAAAATTAACCTTAAATATCATCAGTCAGGCGCAACAAAAAAATAAAATAATAATCTCATTATTTTAATAAAATTGTAGAAAAAGTGTGTTGTATGCACAGGTCTGATCCGCAAAATTTCGTTGGTGCTTTCAAATTATTAATCACCAAAGGGGACATCCATTAGTTACGTGAGATAAAAATAGGGGGGGAGGGGTCTAGCAAAATCTCACCAAATCTCATGTTAAGGGAGGGGGGTCATTAAAAATCTCACGTCAACTTTTGGGGGTAAAGAATAAGTATTCAAATTTGTAAAAAAAAATAATCAATTTTTATTTTTTGGGTTTATCATGTTGTCCGCAAAGAAAGTTTAATGGCTAGAATCTCACGTGAGGGATAGGGGGGGTCTACCACATCTCACCAAACCTCACCAAGGGGAAAGGAGGGGTCCAAATTATCAGAAAAATGCCTCACGTAATTAATGGATGTCCCCAATTTCATGCCCAAGGTACTATGCTTCATACCCAAAAGTTCCACCTTGACATTTTTATACAAATGAGGATATCTATCTGTCAGTTTAACCACGGCGTTCTCTATACCAGGCGAGAGTGTAGCCCCCACTCCTGCATCAAAACTGTGACGTCAGGAGGCCGATCGAATCAACGTACGTCTATTGTATTACATTGCTTTGCAACCAAAGTTATGGATTATTATTGCTTTTAAGGAGTATTTTTTACCAAAGCAGTGGACAATGCATATTCTATCAAAATCAACAAAACAATATGTACTAAGTAATTTATTGAAAACAAACAGAGAAATGCTATTAAAATAGTAATTTATTTAAAACAAAGAGATCTGCACACAAAAAATAGTTCTGTAATTTTAAAATACCGATTGTTTGGGATTTGTATATTTGAAATAAGTTTAGTATAATTTTTATAATATGGAATATTAAATAAAAAAATTTTTAAGTTTAATTTTATACAAAAAATTAGTTTAATTTATCTATTACTAATTAATAATTATTTATTTATTACTATTAATAATTACTTCAATTAAATTTTCTTGTATTTAAATTTAGAAATTATACTCTTTTAATTATTAAAATTTACTTAAAATAAATTAATATATTCATTATACTATTTAATTTGAAATAAGAGTATAATATTTTTGCGTATATATAAGTATATAACCATAAAAATGTTGGTTATTTTATGTAAATGAATATTTTTTTGTGTATGCTCTTAAAATAGTTATTTATTTATAACAAACATGGAACTGCTATTAAAATTGTAATTTATTTAAAACATAGAACTGATATTAAAATAAAAAATAGAATGGTAAGCTACATCAAAGTTTTTAGTTTTGAGGGCGCATTAACATCTTGTTTTCTTGCAGCTATTATTTCCCAGTTTCTTGTAATTAGATAAAAATTACGCTAGTGTTTTTTGCCCAGAGTCAAAAAACTTCTGGCCGGCTCTGACAATCGATAATTCATATGAAACTGTCTTGCATTACCGCGATAATATATATATTTTCCTGTTGCTTCTTAGGAACGCAACATTTTCTTGGTATTTTTTATTTATTTATAATATTATAAAAGCAGCAAACTAATGCAATATTTAAATCAACGTTAAATCGAGCGAAATCAATAGTAAAGCAATAGATAATTTATATTAAACTGTCTTGAAATACCGCGATTATAAAATTATTACATTAATTACGCCTCCCACTACCACACTCCCGCCTGGTATAGAGAACGCCGTGGTTTAACGCTTTTTCGTCCTATTTGCTGAAAATAATCCAATACATGTAATTGTTGTGTTCTAAATTAAGACTTTTATAAACAAAAAATACCTATAATATATATTATTGTATTATTATCAAAAAAATTGCGTTAAACTTATAAATCTATCAGTATCTACATAATCACAATAATTGTTATTTGTATTCATATGTTAAAGTGGGACTTTTGGGCTGGACTGCTTAACTTAAGCATAGTATCAATTCACATGTATAGGGTAGCCCACAGTATGGGGTAGCCCAAACTAGATTCTGGATACCTAGTAACTTTTGCTGTGTGATGTGTGATTCTTAATAAATAAATCCGCTTCTTGATAAGATTTGCCCATATTGTTTCTTTTCTTTTGAAATACTAGGATGCTTAAATTTGAGTTTTATTTTCGAAAAAGCAATCAAAAAATATTCTGACAGTTTTTTATGGCTGTCATCAAGTTTTAAAATTTAAACTGATACCTACTTGGTGAAAAAATAAAAAAAACAAATATAATTGTCATTGTAGCCAAGCTAATAACAAAAAACAATTTAGTTTGGGCTACCATTATGGTCAATTTACATATGGTAGTACCATATGTAAATTGACTGTAATAAAGGACTAAAGATTATTTTAAATGTTAAAAACAATAAAAATTATCTTTATTAATTAATATTACACATATGGGGGTTAGCTTGGCACGACATAAACAGCTGAGAATTTTGGAAATGTAGGTACTAAATTTTTAATTGTACTAAAACAATGAGGTTATTTACTTGCAAAGTATGTACCAAAAAGTACTTGACAACCAATAAGTACTAATCAGTGTCAGATGTACTTTTTTGGTATCAATGCTTACTTTATGTAGTATAGAACACTATATATTTAGTCTTCTGGAGTATTTTAAATAGTATTATTAACATTTGCTGAGTTAGTTTTATCAGAATGCAAAAAATAAGGTAATTTACTTGTCAAATTAATGCACATGATCAAATAGCATTAAGTTGGAGGTCAAATATTTGCCAGCTATTAACTTTAAAACCCAGTATTTTTTTAATTACCCATGGTTTATTATCTATAATTATAAGCATGCTTTTTAATGAACAACTACTTCCTTTTATTTTATACTTAATCCAAATTACCCCTAAATCTACATAATAAACCTTACACAAACATATACCATCAAGTAATTCCTATGTAGCACCAATGCATTAGAAGCCAGCTCCAATGGTAGACTCCCTGATATCTTAAATTTGCTCCACATTCTCGTAGAGTAGTTAAACTTCCATAATTCTTGAAACAAGGGGTATGAATTCACCAAATTAATATCTTCCTCACTATGTATTGTGGGGTTGTACCCTCCAAAGCTGTAGAAGTTTGTTGAGTCAGCCCCTATGCGATGCCCACTTCTCGGATGTGGAAGCCTTTGCTTATTCTTGGGCTTAATTTCTTCATACTTAAAGGCCCGAAAACTGTAGCCTTTGTCACTCTCCCTCGTCCCGCTCTCGCACATCTTCAGTAAAACGGCCATCAAAAGTTGGAAAAGTTTTTTGAACCACCGTGTCAGACATTTGGAATACATTCATTATCGTACGCACCTCGACACTGTCTCGAGGATAATAAATGCATTTTGAAATTGTATTTTAAGATCAATTGCACAAGAAATTTAAACGTGAAGGTTACCACAAGTTTTATATTGACTAAAACAAGTTTGATTCTTGTATGTGATGTAATTAACAATAAACTACATGCGGTGTTGCCGCAACCAAACTGACACAAGGTCTTTGTGACAAGGACAACAAAAGAATTATTTGCTGCGTTGCCAAGCTACCTAATCAATTATTTTCTTTTTAAATGAATACAAACACAATACCAGGATTTTATTGGATAGATCCATGTCTACCTGTCATAATATTTTATCGAAGATAAGTAACTATGCTGTTTTTGGGTTTTAAGAAGAGTAGTTCAAATATATCAAGGTTATTTGGCAACACTGAATTCAAAACAAAGTTTAATATAATTTGGCCAACAAGGAAGAAGAAGAAGTAATATACAAACAGAATAACATAAATCTGTATTATGGGTTGCATAGCAACTGAAATTGTTCAAAAAACCAAGAAGTTCATAGACCATTTTCAAAACCAAACCTTGTGAAAAGTTTGTTTTTGACCTTTGACCAGTAGTTGATGATTTTTTCCATTCTCTTCTTACTTACCTACCGTATTCACATTTTACATGATATTAAATTTACGTGAGATTTATGTTTCCTAACTTGTAACAATACAAGCCCCCATAGAAATCCCTCAGCACCGCCTAAAATGTCAGGGCCGGCAACGTGGCAAGCACGTTTTCATTAGATTAAATGAAATATTTGCATTTTAACATAATAAACTTGCTGCAATAGAAATTTTGAGTTAAATAATTAAAACATTTATAACTAAATAGTTATAAAATCGGTTAACCGAGTTTTTGCGAAAAACTCAATATTGTGATTGAAAAAAAATGCTATTGAAATCCAAGTTTTTCTCCAAAGGCTGGTCTACAATTGTCGCAGAAAGTGACTTTTACGGCTTAGGTCTTACGTCAACCAATCATAGTGCTTGATATTATATAGGTATATGCTTTTTAAGCACTTTAATTGGTTGACGTAAGTCGTAAAAGATACATTCTGCGACAATTAATTGTAGAATTGTAGAGCGGGCTTAATAAATTTTAATGGGGTGGGAACTTGAAATCGAATAACAAATTAGGTACAGCCAATTTTAAAATTGTAGCTAAAAATTCTTTGCATGTATTATGTTTTGCAAAAAAACGGGAGAGTTTTAAAATTTACTATTTCTTGCATTCTACTGTGCGTTCCATATAAGTGGGCGGTCATGCCGCCTATAATCCACTGCAGTGATTGAAATTTTAATGTACTGGGCGACAAAGATTTTGGTGAAATTGACCCTGCTACGGTCCTGTTTATCTCCTTACAGCTGACGCCTGCCACAAAAGAAAGAGGTGATTTATTATCTATGGAGGTGTATTTAAATTAAACACAAAATTCACTATTTTATTTAATAATTTAACTTAACCCTTTCAAGCCCAGTGATGCCATATAGCATTTAATATTTTTTTGACAGTTCCAGTGCAATTATATTACAATAATTGTTGTAAACAGCAACAGCAACAATTATTGTTGCTGTCTCTAGATCTTTATCTTAATTTTATATAAATCAATATTGATTTTATCGAGAAAAACCGTAATAATTTTTACTGTTGCTGCTATTTGTTAATGAAATTATGAATGACAATTAATTTATTTATTTATATAAAATTAAGATAAAGATCTAGAGACAGTGTTCAAAATAAAATCATGATTTTAAGTGCAAAGCCTTGATGATCAAAAATTAAAATGTCCCTTAAATACCTACTTTGAGCCTCAATTGAGGCTCAAAGTAGGTATTTAAGATTTTACTGCAGCAACAAGAGAATCTCTTTCTCAGCTACATGTAGAGATGCATCTCTTGAAGAGATGCATCTCTACATGTAGCTGAGAAACTTTTTGATATTTAAATTTTATTTAAGCTAACCGTGCTTAAAAAGACGGGTAATATCGAAAGATTGCGGATAAAAAACCAAGCTAGTTTTATGTCCATTTATATCTGTTTTTATCCTACATAATACCAGATACTATCTGGTTTTACCCGGCATGTCGGTTTTTATCTATTTAGTTCTATGTCTACTTTCATCTGGTTTCATCCGCAAATACCTGTATTTGGGTTTATATCTGCATTCACCCGGTTTTATCTGCAAATACCTGCTTTCGTTTGTTTTTACCCGGTTTTATCTGCGTCTGCCTTCATTTACTTCTTTACTTCTTTACTTTGCCTGCTTAGGTCCGGTTTCATCCGCGATTATTTTGATTTTATCCGGTTTCACTTTCAAACATCTGCTGTCATCTGTGAACGTCTGATTTCATCCGCAAAAGTCTGCTTAATCTCATTTTACCTGCAAACATCTGCTTTTACCGGCGAAGATATACTATACGCAAACATCTGCATTTATCCCCAAACGTCTGCTTTAATCCGCAAAAATCTGCTTTAAACCGCAAACATGCTTTTATTCGCGAAGATCTGCTTTTATCTGTGAATGTTTGCTTTAATCCGCAAACATCTATTTTAATCCGCAAACATCTGATTTCATCCGCAAACATCTACTTTAATCCGCAAACGCCTGCTTCATCCGATTTCACCTGCAAACATCTGCTTTTAAAGATAAAGAAATTTATTGGTTCAGGTACTATTATATATATTATATATTATATATTATATATTATATATTATATATTATATATTATATATTATATATTATATATTATATATTATATATTATATATTATATATTATATATTATATATTATATATTATATATTATATATTATATATTATATATTATATATTATATATTATATATTATATATTATATATTATATATTATATATTATATATTATATAAAGTTTTGTATATAAAGTTTTCTACACGTCATAAAAGTTAAATAGCTAGGTCATTAAAACAAAAAACAACAAAAAAATTACATTAATCTTTTATATTGTAGAAGCACTGCTCTGCTAGAAATATTCTTAGACAGGACTTAAACCTGTTAATTGGAAGATCTCTAACCAGAACCGGTAGCTTATTAAAGAAGGTTGGACCCAATTATTAATACCATTTCTGGTTCTAATGAGTCTATGAAAATCTATCTGTAAATTTCTGTCATACCGTAGGGAATGGCAGGTGAGTCTGCAAACATCTGCTTTAAACCGCATACATATATGCTTTTACCGCAAAGCTTTGCTTTTATCTGCGAAGATCTACTTTCATCCGCGAACGCCTGCTTTAATCCGCAAACATCTACTTTAGTCCGCAAAAGTCTGCTTCATCCGATTTCACCTCAAACATCTGCTTTTATCCGCGAAGATCTGCTTTCATCTGCGAACGTCTGCTATAATCCGCAAACATCTGTTTTAAACCGCGAACGTCTGCTTTAATCCGCAAACATCTCTTTTAATCCGCAATCATCTGATTTTATCCGCAAACATCTGCTTTTATCTGCAAACATCTGCTTTTATCCGCAAACATCCGATTTTATTCACAAACATCTGCTTTTAATTGCAAACCTCTGCTTTCACCCTCGTTCGGTTTTATCCGTGATTGCCTGCATTTGCTTTGTCCATTTCGGTCCTGTTTCGTACGCAAACGTCTGGTTTCATTCGCGCTTTTTGTTTTCCTTACGTCTTCTTGGGTATAGTTTAGTTTAATTTACCTGCTGTGTCAAATTTTACTGTGCTTTAACTAACTGGTTGTTAGCCGTTTACAGCACAAAACTTTATAACCATAAAAGGAATTATTTAAATAAAAACAACATGTAAAAGAAATAAGTTTAATGAACTTTAAATATTATTTGGTAAAATACAATGACCTTAGTCACTGTTAAAAGACATAAATAAACATTTTTTTAAGTTTACATTTAAATTAATTAATATATGTTTAATTTCAAATACATTTGGAATTATAACATCTTTAATTTGTATGGAATTTGTTTGAAAACACTTGATGAACCGCGAACACCCGGTTGGTTGTGTTTTAGGCCCGGTTAGTGCAAACGTCTGCATACGTCTGGTTTTATCCGCGATTACCTGCATTTTTTCGTCTATTTTTGTCGGGTTTTGTCTGCAAACGTCTGGTCTTATCCGCGAGCATCTGCTTTTACCCGCAAACATCTGCTTTTATACGAGAACATCTGCTTTTATCTGCGAACATCTTCGAACATCTGGAATCCGCAAACGTCTGATTTTGTCCGGTTTTACCCGCAAACATTTGCTTTTATCTGCGAACATATGCTTTTACCCGCAAACGTCTGCTTTCATACGGTTTCACCCGCATCCGGTTAGTGCACCCCCGCAATCATCCTTAATTATCTGCTTTTGACCGGCTCTGCGTTTCGTTTATATCTGCATTTGTCCGGGATCATCTGCAAACGTCTGCTTACGTCTGGTTTTATCCGGGATTACCTTCATTATTTTCTATTTTTGTAGGGTTTTGTCTGCAAACGTCTGGTTTTATTCGCGGTCTCGGTTTTACCCGCAAACGTCTGCCTAGTCCAATTTCAACCACAAATATCTACTTTTATCCGCAAACATCTGCTTTTATCCGCCAACATCTGCTTTTGTCCGCGAACATCTGCTTTTATTCGCGAACATCTGCAATCACCCGCGAACATCTGCAATCACCCGCAAACATCGGCTTTCATCTGCAATCATCTGATTTTCACCGGCTCTACTGCATTTCGTTTATATCTGCATTTGACCGGGTTAATCAAGTGTTTTTCAAACAAATTTCATACAAATTGTAGATGTTATAATTCCAAATGTATTTGAAATTAAACATATATTTTTTCTAACAATTAATTTGAATGTAAACTGAATGTAACTTAAAAAATGTTTATTTATGTCTTTTAACAAAGACCTTATTTGTAGATATATATTTTACAGGTTGTTTTTATTCAAATAATTTATAAAGTTACACAGAGAAAAGTAATCTCTTGATTTAAGAAAATGCATTTATTTGAAACAGTTTTTCTTGTATGAAGTAAAATTGTCTTATTCGTAGTAACTTCTTGTTTACAATAACAACAACTTATTGTTGTGATTAATTGTAAAGAAATATTTATTTAGAGCAATTAATTAAATTGTTTGGATATGAGTCATTCCAAATAAAAACACCAAAAGGGGT